GGCCTCAGATATCAGCAAAGCTTTGAGTATCTCAGCGTCTGCACGCAATGCATTTGCTTACATGTCTTTTGCTAGATAATGCAGTGCCCGAAGGTTCGGCTGTGATCTAGGCAACGCTTCCATGGAATTCTAGAGAAGCAGTGTTGGCCTTGATTCCGTAGAGACTTGGAAGGAGGGCAGTAAAGAACGTAATTAGCCTAACACTTTGAAGTCTCTTATGCATCGCTGTGGTATACTTCGTAAGTGCATGCATACGTATGCCTATAGCTACTTATGTATGTATGCGAATACATATGTGTATTTAGTTCTTGATCAATACTGGTATTAAGCAGAAGCAACAGCAACAGAGGCCCCGTGTCTCTTCCAGACTACAAGGATAATGTATAAATTTTCAAAACATAAACACTTGCGTGTACGATAAGCTGTGTGAAGATGAAAATAAACACTTAGTCTAATTGCTGGCGGCTGGAAGCAAAAAAATCACTAAGTCTGATTGGTTAACTTGGTTTTTCACCTCAAAACATTGAGCGTTGAAAGTTGTTTATCCAGGAACACGAGCCGCTTGCACCAAGAAACTGAAAAAACAGAATTCTTTGTTTTACAACAGAATACTACACGTCATCCCAATTCAATTCGCAAGAGATTTCAGATGAGCTAGCAAATACAGCCAAATCTATTCTTCTAGACGCCCCCAGATCTGCAACGGATTTTGAATTTCCGGTTCTATTAACAAATATTTAGCATGCTTAATAATATATTTCCCTGGTATTACTGGTCATATCAGTTAGGAGAAGTGGCGCCGGATAGCACTGACTGGATTTCAAAAATGCTCAGTACCAGAGAAACCGCAAATTCAGACATTTGGTTTATGTACTTAGGTTTATGTACTTAGCCAATCAGCCAGTGATGCGATGCTACATCTGAAGGATTACAGCTGAACGTCTCTAAGTCTGAATCTCGCCTAGCCAAAGCAATGATAAATTTTCTCTCCAACTGCAAATCAGCTGCGGAGTGATAAAGTATACAAAGAGACAGCAAGAGGGCGTCTTTTCAAAATACACTTCTTCTGACGCAACAAGGCAAAAAAAAAAAAATAAATGGATAACGGCACAAAATTAGTGAAGTAAAAGTAAGCGAGAAATCCAGGGAGAGGGGTGCAAAATAGCATTAAAAGAAAATGAACAAGTCCACCAAATTGGTTGTAAAACTTAACCAATTAATTAGAGCGTGGTACGTTTAAGACGAACGATGTTCAAGACGGCAGACAGCAATTTGTGTTATAAAGTTGAACCTAGGCTGGAATGCATCAGGCTTGCCAGTGCGATCATGCGTTTTTGCTCTAAACTCGCAGGTCACTAA